TCAGTTCATTCTGCAAGTCCATTGCTGCTGGCAATGACATGCTACGAGGCAATGCACACTTGTTTTTACATCGTAAAAACCCATGTCTAGTTCATCTCTGCTCTCTGTGGTGCAGACAAAATCTGGAAATAAATCCCCTCCAAAGACAGCAATGCATCAAAAGCATCAATGTTTTAGCAGGTTGCAGACAGTCGGACGATATGATTTGATTAGCGCTTTGAATATTTTCAATATATTTTAGTTGTAGTTTAAATTTCATGATTTCGTTTCTGTTGAATGAGACACAAAAAGTGTTTCAATACTGGAGAAACAAAATCGCAAAATAAAACGTGAAAAGCTTTGATAATTTGGTATTAATTCCTGCACGTTTTAGATGTTTCTCTGCTMAGAAACAACTAATAATGTTCAATAATCTCAAACAGAACCTCACGTTAAACACATCAGATGGTATCAKACGTGTTGAAGCAGAACAAATAAAACATGATGAGGCTGTGAGCGCCTCTAACTCTCCCTCAATGATTCAAAGTGCACTGCTGTGTGTTTGMAGCTCCCGCTGCAGCGGCAGTCTCTGCCCAGCAGGGGGCGCCAAAGACTGAGGCMGATGATGGTGAAGATGAGGAGGAGCTCCTGCAGGCCGAGGAGGAAGACAAGACACAGGATGCTGGTGGGAGATTTTTCTTTTTTTCTCTCACTCTGAGTCACTAAATCTTGTTTAAACATTTCTCATCAGTTTTACACATATGTTGGTTTATAGAAAATGATTAATTTCCTGAAMTGATCACATCATAAATCAGCTGCTTTCACCAGCAGACAGCAGACATCCTGCAGCTCCTGAGGAGGAACACGAAGAGGCTGAAGCTGAAGAGTCCGAGCCTCAGAAAGCTGCACACAAACCAGGMGATAAAGAGGAGGAGTATGATGAAGATGATGATGAGGAAAAGGCAACAGTGGATGTGATTAAACCTGTTCCAGAACCAGAGGAAGAAGCGCCTGCAGGTTAGAACTTCAGGATGAAGACGAGAGTCTGGATCAGGTTTAGTTATCAGATTAACTTTAGTTTTTTTTAATCTTTGGTTCCAGTTTGTCCCTGTATGCACTCTGCAAAAACCAAAGAAGCAGCTGCAAAAACCAAAGAAGCAGCTGCAAAAACCAAAGAAGCAGCTGCAAAAACCAAAGAAGCAGCTGCAAAAAC